ATCATCATCATCATCATCATCATCATCATCATCACCATCACCATCACCATCACCATCACCATCATCATCATCATCATCATCATCATCATCATCATCATCATCATCATCATCATCATCATCATCATCATCATCATCATCATCATATTAGATAATAATTGTCCCCCGAGTGTCCGATCCCTCTTTCTGTGAATAGAGATGTATTTGAAATTAGGGGAGCCATATCACGAAAAAGTGTAGGTCTACACTGGTTGAAGTTTAGAAACGCAATTTTTTTTTTTTTAATTTATTTATTTTTATTTTTTTTTATTATATTTATTTTTATTTTATTTTATTTTTTTTTATGACTTTGGTATGATAATAAGGCTACGATGACACATGACCCATCATGCACCCACCGGATTTACCCTTTCAGCTATCTTTAACTGCGCAAACGATAACGACACAAAAACAACCATTAGGCTCCGGAACCAGACTGGAGGAAACAGACAGTGGAACTGTAGCGCCACCAATGCTTGGTCGCGCGAGCAGGGAGAGAGAAGTTACTCTGTGAGATCATTTCCTCCATGGTGAGATCATGTCATGATGCTTTGGCGGTGAGCGGTGAGAGATAAACAAACAATGGCTGACCTGGATTAAAGTTTTTACAGTAGTACAGTCTTGTACGGGACGGTATTTAGTAAAGTAGGTCTAGCCTCAGGAGTCTCCATCTAATTCATACGATTACGTGAGCTGTTTGGAGAGTAACAAACATGTCATCTCGGCTGTTTGAAGGGTTGCATCATGCTGATCTGTATGCAAAATATCGTCCAAACTACCCACAGCAAGTCATTGACAGGATTCTGACTTTCATGAAGGTTGGCATTCATTGATTGATCATTATAATTAATTAGACATTAGCTGAGAAGATGCTTAGCATAGGCCTAGCTAGGGCCAGCTAGGCCTGGTAGTGCTAGTCTAGGCCTAGTAGTAGTAGTAGTAGTAGCTTGCTGGGCCTAGGCCTAGGTAGGTACCACATGATAAATACAAAGTTGAATATTAAAAAAAAATAGCACAAAAAACTAGGCCTACTTATTCTCAGTATCATAAAAAACTTTATTTGAGGAAAATTGAGCCACTGGTTAGGGCCTACGGTTTTATAAACATTTGAAGTTTATGAGCGTGTGAATAACAAGTTGCATGTTAACAATAATTAATATTTCTGTCACTTTTTGCCATATTTCTGTTAATTTTTGTAAATGCTAAAAAAATAGAGTACATTTTGATTGTAAATTTTTACTGCAAGTTAGTATACATTGGTCATGTATGTAGCCCTAATACTCAACGACCAGAAAATTTATAAATTTTTCAGATGACCTTTGACCCACAATTCTGAAATTCGGGAAAAAAAATGAAAAAAAAAAAATAAATTTAAAAAAATAAATAAAAAAATAAAAATCATTTAAAAAAGTCTTATTGTGCTTGCATACTCACAGTAATTGCAGTGTCCGACAAAATGTTGGCCCAATTTGTGACGGGCATTAATGGTGTATAAAATTTTGCAACTATAATATAATAATAACTATACAGTACATAAATATAGATATATGAAAAAATTTATTACCAGAATTAATCTGGAAGTAAAACTATCCTTCCCCCCCCCTTCCCCCGGACACCATCCCGGTATTTCTGAGTCTAGGTTTCAGGGCTGGGAATAATAATTATGTACTAAATTAAGTTGCACAAATGATATTACCAGTGGTAATCTAGAATTAAAAGTATCCCCCCACCGGACTTCAAATGACAAATTTCTTTGGCCGTTACGCATGACATCATCCTCTTGCATCAAAAATTAACATCGTCTCCCAATTCTCTCGAAATCATTCTATGTTTAATATCCACTTCAATTCTTAATATTTAACCATTTTTTTAGATAATCATTAGCTAAAAGTATATTTTAATACTTTAAGTATCATTTAGTTTATTTTTGAACTCATATTTATTTTATTTACATGAAAAATATTGCCGTTTATATGCAGCACTTTTGTTAAGATTATTATGGTTTATCTCGTGTACACAATGGCCGATCAACAGCTGATCGTCGGTTTTGCGGTGCCAAAAAAAAATATTGCTATGCCTCGTATTACATTCATATTTGGCAAATAAACTCTTAGATATATAAAATAGTCTTCGTTATTAAAAAATTGGACTTTATTACTCGCCATTCTCTGGAAGAAACGCAGAATTTTAATGAAATTTTCAAAAGTTGATAACTTCGATAAAAGTTGACCGATTTTGGAAAAAATCAAAATGGTGTACTACTTCGACCCCTGAGTGACCTGATGAAAACGTCTCAACCAATCAAAAAGCATTTTATATGAATATTTTCTTAAGGCCTTTGTTGACAAAAACACGCTTGGCTGAACTGGACTAATAATGACACTAATTGAAGTGTGTGACGTCACGCATCGTATGGTGCCTAGCCTAGGCCAGGCTAGTGTAGCAGCAGCTAGGCTAGGCCCGGCCTAGAGTAGTATTACTATCCGGACAAGCCTTTTCAATTCAACACTGTAGGAGTGGAGTGGACATGTTGCAAGATGTCAGGTTTTTTAGCTAGGCCTAGGAGGAGTAGATATAGGAGGCAGAGTAGAGTCTTGTCTTACTTAAGTCTGGTTTCCTGTCCACATAAGAAATCAGAATTTCTGACGATTGCGACATTTCAACAAGGAAATATGAAATATGACAAGAAAATGGTTGCGAGGTTTGTTTTGTGAAATCGACGTAACACACGCTAAAATCGTTATAGCACAATGCTTGACAGAAAACCAACACACTGAATATCTGTCCAATACGTCGATTGACCACGAATCGACAGGAAATTGAGTTTTTGTTGAATGAACTTCCGTACATTACGTTGCAAACAATTCTTTATGGAAAGTTGACTTGGAGTCAACTTTTATGTATTTTTAGTATGCTCGTCTTTATTTTTTGCCTATACAACAACACTGTCGACGAACAAGAACTCTCATTGACTTGCGAATTGATAATCAAATGGTTAAAAAAAACACATCTTTCTATTTTTTTCACCACAATGGTAGGCATGTATAGGATCTTATAATAAATTTTGTTTAGGCCCATACATCCATAAATTATTACTGGAGTATTGATTAATATGGAATGCGGTGGGGGGGGGGGGGGGTGTTAAGGGGGTGGAGAATGAGATTTCAAGTAGATTTAATGAATTAAATTTATTATACAAAATACAAGATAACTTTATTGTTGTAACATATAGCAAGATAATACAAATTTTTTTTTCCATTTGCATTAAAAAATACTGTAAAATTAAAGACATACTGTGCAACATATAAACTATAAAATAATAAATAAAAATATATAATATAATATAAATTTATAAATGAAATAAATAAAAATATGAAATATATAGGCTACTTGATATGGTATTGCCAGTTTGGTAAATTTTCTGCTAATTTCAATAAACAACATTATTTACTAATTGTATTTCATTCTTAATTTTAACTTGAACATAATGGTAACATTTAAATCATGTTTTCAATATCTGTAGGCCTACTGTAGGCTATATGGGGATATGATTTTTCTGTTGGTTCAAAACATAAGTGAAATGAAAATAAACAAAGTACTGTAGGTTATAGGTCTAATTGATATTTTGAGAGTTGAAACACTAAAATCGATAACCAAAATGTTAGCAAATCAAGATTTGTAGTATACTGTACCACAGGCCTGGTACCATAGGCCTTAAATGCCTAAGTCTGATGCAATGACGAAATTGTCCTCAAATTTCACTGGGTTATTATAAGGAAACCAGATAGGAAGTGAGGAATATTAACATCGCAATCGCAAAGTAAAATTCAACTTAACAGGCATGTATTATGTAATGACGTTAGGACAGGATTTGCTGTTTGCATTTGAAAAAAATCAACTAGTCGTAAGAATCGTTAACAAGATATTTTGTCCGCGGCCAAGCACAATCAAGACTATGTCGTTTTATTAAACTTATAACAGTCGTAAGAATCGCACCAGTCATAACAAACATTAGAAATTCTGACTTATGTACTGTACGTCGACAGGAAACCAGGCTTCAGGCCACAATGGAGTTTCTACTATAGGCCTACCTAGAGTAGGATGACCTATAAGAAGGCCTACCAGGCTAGGCCAAAATAGTATATCTAATTAGTAAAAAGTCTTAGGCCTAGTCAGACTAACCTATTGCAGGCTAGTTTTTGAAAAGAGGATCCTCTTAGGAATACTACAAAGATAGCACAAATAAGCATGGTATATACAAATTGTAAAACTTACCTTATATTCGGCGATGACAATCTTACAGACTGCATGAGATCGTACAGATACAAATATCTTTTGGGTACGGGTTGACCAAAATGACGTGTGTACGAGTTAACCAAACGTGGGTACGGGTCGACTAAAATTTGTGTACAGGTTAACCAAAGTGGGTACGGGTTGGTATGTGTACGGGTTTGTTTGGGTACGGATTGTTGGGTTTTTTAATTTTTATAATTATGCAAGTTCTTGGCCCTGGAGAACAAGAGCTTGATAGAGGCCTTAAATGCCTAAGTCTGATGCAATTTGAGATTTTTTCCATAACAGTGCATTTCATGCAATCGGGATGGCTTTGAACAAGACATTCTGAGGTAGAATGACATCTGTGTCCAATATCTGACAGCAGATTTGCAGTATGCAAAACGAGTTTTTTAAGTGAAAAAAAAGTCACTGATGTACAGTAAGGTCTTCTTTTAAATAAAGTTTAAAAACATAATGGGTCTAGCTCTGACCAAAATCATAAGTTTAACCAGGCCAAAACAGTTGAACTTGCAAGTAGTCATTGCCAAGCATTTGTAATGTACAGTACTGTATGATTTTCAGGTTAAAGCCAAGAGAAGTGATGACTATGTGAAAGCAGTAGATGTAGGTTGTGGGTCCGGCCAGTTAACTCGAGACCTTGCTCCATATTTCCAGCAAACTGTTGGTGTAGACGTCAGTGAGGCTCAAATAAAGTTTGCAAGAAATTTGAAAACAAACGCCAACGTAGAATACAGGTAAGTAGGCTTATTAATTATAACAAAATAATGTACTGTATATACCTGTATATCCTTTAAAGAAATATGATAGATATCAAACATCCTTCAAGGATGACAGATCTAACCTGTCAACATCTCTGATGCAATTACAATTTTAATGAGAAAAAAATGGATTGGATTGAATTTATTCGGTGTAAACACCAAGTAGGGGCGTACGGTGAAAAATCTAAGGGGGGGGGGTCGAAACGAAAGCGCAGGGGGAAAGCTGAACTCGGAGCAATTTAGCGAAGCTTCCAGAATTCGCGGGGTGCGTTATTTGTGAGTGAAGCGAGCATATTTAAAGGGCACTTTCTTTAAAAAGGGGGGTCGACCGCACCCATCGACTCCCCCACGGTACGCCCCTGCCAAGGATATCCCACGGAAGTGTAGGAGAAGACTTATTTCCAGTGGGGTCCTTCCGGTGGTGATTGCGCAGTACATCAGGAGACAATCCCCTACTCTTTTCCGAAGAGTGTCTGCGTTCTTTAACGTGCACATGGGCCATAAATGCACATAGGACCAACGGCTTAAACGTCTCATCCTAAAGACGGTGCACTATTGTAACTTGTATTTCAGCTCTCCAGCTGAAACACAAGGAGAGGCAGCGATGGGAATCCATGGACCTAGAGATCTCCAAGGTTCAGCGCACACACAGTGGCTACCACCAGATTAGCCTACTGAGCTAAGCAGCTCACTCTATGTTCCCATCCAATTCATGCATTGCTAAATAATACAGTTTCTGTATTCTTTTGCATAGATCCTTAAATTGGCTGCTAATCAATTTAAGGATTTTTGTAGTAAAATGGAAATCAATGTAAACTTTTTTCACAATCTGGGTTTAAAGTTATTATTTTTCCTATTTTTTTTGGCAGAGAGTACAATACATCTTAAAATTTTATATAAATAACTTAACTTAGTTCAACAAATTCAAAAGCAAAAACATTTATGCCTATTAAGAATTTTTTTCATAAGCCACTTTCAGATAGAAATTGCCGCAATATTACTGTAAGCATGCCAGCATAATAACTGGTCTATAAAGTTTTCACAAGCCGCCTTGGGTAGCACAATAATGCGGTAATCTAATTAACACATTTTTCTGTCCGAAAGGGTCCTATAGAATGGCGTAATAATGGCAGTTTTAAACACAGAGGGTGCCATTTTTTGTCAATATGGCACTTTTTGTAGACAAAACCAGCTTGAATTGTGCTGTCAATTTGGGCATTTATTTCACATCCCCCACGAATTAGCATAGCTGCCTCACCTGACGTATTTGTGTCCGTTGGTGGTTGCCTTTCGTTAAAACAATAGTAATAGTTTTCACAATGGCGACAAATTGGAGCTTTATTTTTGAAAACCGGTGAAAGGAAGAAACAATTTAAATGACACCACACTCAACGGTTTTCATCTTTAACCTTTATGCATGATGCACACGCCGTCTTGATTGCCGCAGTGATGATTATGTTCCTGACTGGTGTTGAATACTAAAATGTAAGATATTTTCCATCTTGCTTACAGAGTTGGAAGTGGAGAAAGCATTCCCGTGGAGTCTTCATCCGTGGATCTAGTGACGTGTGCTCAATCTGTTCATTGGTTTAACTTCAACAAGTTTTGTGGTGAAGTTGACAGGATTTTGAAACCCAGCGGATGCGTAGCTCTCATTGGCTATACAGCTCCAAATATAATTTACCAAGGAAAACCACATCAGGGACTCAACCGACTTTTCGATGAGGTAGAATGACAAATAGTTGTTCAAATCTGGTTAATTTTGTGTATACAGTGTTGTCTGCATTGATTAACAGACATTGTGAATAAACTGGGAATGGTGCCTCGATCTCCGGGAGAAAGACGTCATGGTTGGGCGTTGCTTAAAGCCTCTTGGAAATGGGTCCGAGGGAAACCCCCCTGGAAACTATGTAAATTTAGAAATACAAGGGCTTATTTTATCTACTATAATATATAAATATACAATCTTTTTTTACTTCCTGGCAAGTCATGTTTTGTTTCCCTGAAGAAGGGTTAGAGGGGGGAGGGGAAGCTCTCCCCAACATGGGTCCCCTGGCCACCCCTGGAATGAACGCATCTGCTTTAAATCCTATTTTACTATTGTATTTATTAATTGAATGTAGAAAGTATAAGCTAGTAAAGCAGTAATCCTGCCGTTCGATCATGCCATCTTCCTTCAATTGAATTTCACTGTCGGGTTTATTTTAATTTATTCATATTTTAATAGGCTTAGTAAAATAGTAATAATATATCTTGCCAAAAAGCAAAAGCTGTTCCTACTTTTAGACAATATGAATAATTTAAATCAAGAATTACCCATCAGAAAATAGGCACAGGGGCATAGACTTGTTTTGGTCTGTGGGACACGAAACAGCCCAGGGGTGCAAAAATTATGAATACAGAACTAGGTCCTTATTCCAATGAAAACTTAAGCGTACTAATTTGCCGTCACACCCCCCCCCCCCCCCCCCCCCCTCCCGCCCCCCCCCCCCCCCCCCCGCGCTTTTATACCCCAGTATTCTCCAGTACATTTTTGTTTTCTTTTTATTGCAGTACATTGATCTCTTAAAACCATACACCGCAAAAGAAATTCAGGCTCTGAATAATAAATATCGTGACTTGAAATTACCATACGCCATAAATGAAAGGTAACGTTTCGTCTGTTGAAAACCTAACTCTCTGAATATTCCATAGAAGGATTAGTGTGGCAGCTGTTCTGAGAGTCTTTCGTTCAAGCACAGAAGGGATTTTTTTTAACCGTATTCTTCCAGATTATCCCAGAGTGTCAGCGGATATTATGGGACCCACATAATTTAATAGATCACAAAGAGTGGAGATGCTTGCCTTCCAATCTATGGGTCAGGGGTTAAAATCCTGTCAGACTCCAGAATTTTTTTTTCTCACAAAACAACTCCACTCCATAAGCCTTGTTATGAGACTTAGTTTTCTGCAGAGTATCATGTGTCTGTTTTTGTCATGTGAAGGGAATTTTTTATCAGAGTACAGTAATTTCTTACCTCTGATAAGTTCTTTCTGCTAATAGTCCAACTTGAACTTTGTACCCAGCAAGGCTCTCGACGGTCACAACTTGACTGTACAAGTTATGATAATAATATTTAATAATCTTTTTCGGTAAAGAAAATCTGTTATAGACTATAGATATTGAGGATATAATGTATTCCAGAAATTTACAGTATAACATGAAGAAAAGAATATAGATTATAAAAGGTATTATTAAACTGGATTTTAGTTAAATTCTTGGTTTTTTATATTATATTTTTAAAGAGATGATTCATTAACAAGAAAGCGAGAAGTAAATTTAACCTGGTTTATTAATTGGCTTACATCTTGGTCTCATTACCAAAATTTAATGAAGGCGACTGAAAGTAAATCTGACCCTCTCGTGGAACTTGGAGCAAAGTAAGTTTGACTTAAATTAACGAGTTAAATTCTAGAGTGTTTTTTCATATTATATTTTTAAAGAGATGATTCATTCACAAGAAAGCGAGAAGTAAATTTAACCTGGTTTTTTAATACGCTTACATCTTGGTCTCCTTACCAAAATTTAATGAAGGCGACTGAAGGTAAATCTGACCCTCTCGTGGAACTTAAAGCAAAGTAAGTTTGACTTAAATTAATTAGTTAAATTCTAGAGTGTTTTTTCATATTATATTTTTAAAGAGATGATTCATTCACAAGAAAGCGAGAAGTAAATTTAACCTGGTTTTTTAATACGTTTACATCTTGGTCTCCTTACCAAAATATGAAGGCGACTCAAGGTAAATCAGACCCTCTCCTAGATCTTACTCAGTAATTGACTCATTTGAAAATACTGTCCCCATATCTTCATGTCATCATTGGCTATGTTCTCACACGGCAGCTAACGGATCCGGATCCTGCTAACCGTTAGCTGCCGTGCGTCCATGCGAGAAAATCTCGATCCGGATACCAACAATATGATGAACGAATCACTGGCCAATAAAAAACTGGAACTTGTAAACGCGTACGTGTGATTGGTTTATGATAGAAACGCCCTCAACTTGCTAAACAATAGCGATTGCTAACCGTTAGCATATCCGGATACCGCTAACGGTTAGCGCTAACCGATAGGGAGTTCTCACACAAGTGCTAACAGTTAACGCTAACGGTTAGCTCCCGATCCGGATACTAGGGCTCTCCTGAGAACTAGGCCATTATTATCATCGTTTGAGTCTGCTTTCCCCTGCACGTGAGGGTTAGACTTGAAAGGCTGTACATTTCAGGGGTCCCAAGTTGGAAAAAGTCACTTCTGCAAGATCTGGTTAAATTCACTTTCGTAACACATTTACTGTTATTTTGCCGTGCATTGTGATACCAATCAGTACTAATTTCTATAAGAAAATTGATAATAATAAAGTATTAAAATCATGCAAATATTATGAATTTGCAAGAGATGAGTTATTTTCCACGAGAGTCTGGCTTGTCTGCGGGAGTGCAGGAGGCCTTCCTAGTTTCCACAAACTGCAGAGACTTGGGACCCCTGACAGCTGTAAGGTGTGTGTATCCTGCACGGCCGTTCCAAGGTAAAACAACATAACTGCACAAAAATAATATACCAGTTACCATTGGACAGCCGTGCGAGAGATACTAAACAAAATACTAATTTAAAATTTTTTTTTTCAGAATGGTTGCAGAAGTTGATGATAAATCGTCAACCGATGAAATTGAAGTGGTCCTAGTAGATTCAATATTCATGTTACTTGGAGCAAAGCCTATGCAGGATTAAACTTTTAATTGATTTAATTAATATGTAAGATTGAAATACCTTTCACAATTTTGTTGGTTGTCTTTTTACAGTGAATTTATTTTGCTTTTTGACAGTCTGCCTGAATAGTTTGCAATCATTTTTTTATTTTACATGTCGTTTGTACTATTTGATCTATGAAATGAATGAAAAAGACTCATTTTTAACATTTTAGCAAACTCCACTCGATATGTAGAGTAAATGTATATCTTGTGAGGGTATTGTCACTACAAAAAGTGTTTGCTGTTTGGCATATACTTGGGCCTTGTGCCTGAATTTTTTTATAAACCCCTGATAATGAATATTAGTGACCCAATGTCTGCTTAAGCTTGGAAGTTGTATGTGTGAACTTTTATAGTAGTGTTTAGTATCCTATAAAGTAGAGGCCTTGTTCTCTAAGGAGATTTGGCTTAATTGATGCAGTGTTAGTTGTGGCTTCTCCTGCCATAAATTGTATCAATATTTGGGGAACAACACATTATAGTTTGTTATGAATAAATTCACAAACAGTGTGATGAATTAATTAAAAAAATATATGTCAAAATGCTTTATATTCAGTTAGATTGTAAATTCATGCAGCCCCACCCCATCCCCACCCCCAAAAAAGATGTTAATTTACACAAATGACCATCTGTCAATCTCAGTACTCCTGTAATCACCTGTTTAAGTATGCAGATTTTGCCATCACTGACATTAAGGTAATTAATTAGCATAAATGGTAGACTCAGCAGGTGTTAACTTTCTTTCTTTATTGACCATATGATAACTTAAAACAGCATACCGTATATTCTTGCGAGGATATAGACGAAGCTTAAAATAGCAAATCACGATCGAAAAGCAGGTCGTCGTCTTATCGTGTGTAACACGCAAATTTACTACTGAAATGAAGCTAGTAACTTGTTAGTATTAATGAACTGAATTTTAAGTGTGGGAAATAAGATTTTGATGAACATTTAAAAGCCCATAAAATGGTATTATTTGGAAGATTAGCCCTACATGTGGCTCCATTTTTAGCCACCTAGATGCAGTATGAAGACCGTAACTAGCAGCAAAAGTATGAATTCCGACAGTGAAACAGGAACGTTGTTTTATACGCCTGACATACAAAAATCGTCCAAAAATCTTCTCAAACTTGATCGAGGATTTGTCTTATGTGCGGTTCGCCTTATATATACGACGTGAGAATATACGGTACAATATCCCTCATTGCTGTTTCATTAACATTCAGATTCCAACAATATGATTTTTATCTACTGTTTTACATACCAGAAATAACTTCACACAAAATCTACTTCTAAATATCATGATATTCAACTTGAAATAATCCTTAAAGTTAATGACTTTTGGTACCATCAATAAAAAGACTGTTTGTGGTGGTACCATGTACTTTCAATTAAAACGTTGTTAAAATAATTATTGTGGTAACAAAATATAATTACTGTAATGTTTACTTGGGGTACCACCGACATTCGGTGACCGAATAAAAATGATTTGTGGTACAGTAATCAAATATAAAAATGGTTATTTGTGCAGAGTACAATCATATATAATTAATGTTGTTTGTAGTACCATTTAAAATATGTTATCAGTTTAAAATGTTTATTTGTATCACATATGCCCAATAAAAAAAAATAATATTTTTGAGGTACCATTAATATGATTATATATCTGTAGTATCATTTATGTATTATAAATCAATGCATAAAAAGCTTATCAGTATTAAATTTCCAGAACACAAGTGCAAAATAATTTCACCATTAGCACTACACGGTAAAATCTGCATAAAACATCCAAGTTGACGATAAAATAGAAAAGGGATAATTCGATGTTTTCTGATTATATTTAAAATTTCACGTTTACTCTGATTATATTTACACAGATGAGCTGCACTAATTCTAGTTTCAGTTAACTTTGGTTAAAATGTAAAATATATTTTTAAAAACCATCCGAAAATACAATAATACACTAAACAGAGACGAACACACTAATATATAAAAACCCAAATGGCTCAGACCAGGAAACAAATGCAGATCAATATAACCTAAATGTAATGATGAACAACGTCATCAAAAGGTAAACAATAAAAAAAAAAAAAGATAGGAGTGCAGGCATGGGAAAGGCATTATAAAACAAAATTATTATTAATTATTATTGTTTAAATATTATTTATATATTATAAGTTGTGTGTTTATATATACACCAGCGTGATGACCAAACGTATCCAAGAGAGTGGGTAGAGTAGGAGATTTTCCAGAAAAAGAAGTTTGCTTCCCAGGCTTTACTTCGCAGAATACTTGAATATCAAAGTATTATTGTTTTTTTTTTTTGTTTTTTTTTTTAGTGAAATAATGGGGCACAGTGATGCTGCTGCTTATTATGATAAGGATAATGATGAAGGCAGTCAATTTGATGATGATATTTATGATGATAGAGCCAAAACCCAAAACTTTCTGTTGGAAAATGTTCATCCAATTCCCAAACTTAATTACCGCAATTAAATGTTTCAAACACCTTAAATTCTATTACTACTTCTACCACAAAAAACATATCGAACATATTCTGGGTAATTTTTTTTTTTGTACGGCTTCTAAGTAAATGTTTAAGCCTGTGGTGTTATTTGGGCTAGATTTTTCATTACTTTACAACATAGTACAACAATCACAATCCCGCAAAATATACAAATATTGAAGCACAAATAATGCCGGCTTTAGCACCACCAGATAGTCTGTTGGATCTATTGTCTGGTGTGGTTGTATTCCACTCTGCTGTGTCATCAAGCGTAGTTGTGGTGTCTCCAGTTTTCGGTGATGGTGTGGTTGCAATTGTTGTAATGGCTGCAGTAGGCCTAGTTGTAATGGCTGCAGTAGGCCTACTAGTAAGTAAGGGCATAGTGATGGTGCTGTTTGTTGTATTTGTATTGGTGACGAGATTAAAATGTACGCAAATTACTGTGCAGAAAAACAGCCAAACGTATTCCATATTTTCCTAAAAATGGAAAGAAATAGAAGGAAACTTATATTTAAATCTAAAAATGTCATATGACTAAATTAGGTCAAGTGCGTCAGGTTTGGTCATTATGGATAAGGATTATAAAATATAATATATAATATAATATCTACCATAATGATGTTATTCCATGAGGCCCTGTATCCTTAAGCAATAAAATCTACGAATGAATGTACACTAAATTCTTTTACAGTTTCTATCTAGTGGTGTGTGGTAATTGCCTTTGTGATCCTGTCGATAACAAACATCGTAATATTCAACATATAAATTACCAGAATAATAATGATAAATCATTTTACCAATGCCCCTCGTAGTGCTAAAAGCTTGCATTAATAATATTTTCCTACCAAGTCTGCACTTATTGGTTGCAAATAGATTTTCTTTTTGAATTATGCGGTACACAAATGTGCAATAAAATGTTTAAATATGGACAAAAATACAGCAGTGACGTGCCTGCTACAGCAATGGGCGTGCTGTTCTTTCCAACAGTAACAACACTTTTTCCTGGCATAATAGCACTTACTAACTATATTTTTGTATAATACGTCTCTGTGCTATTTATGATTATCATGAATTTTTCTTATTTACCTTTGGTTCGTGGCTCCTCTGAAAGCTTCTACAGGCGTTGGTTAGAAGTTCTTACAATGTTGCTTCCTTTGTAACTTTTATAGTCTCAATTCAGTATGAAACCGTCCAAATTCAATGCAGTGTCTAAGAATAAAATTCTGTTTGTTATAATGTTCACTATTTCCTCGAAAACTAATGTATTTGTTTATTTAGTTTCTATAACGACTGATGACAATAAATTTTTGATTTTCATTCCACGTCTAAATTTAATCCAATCGTCTAAATTGAATGCAGTGTTAAAGAATAAATTAACATCATCTGTTATACTGTTCACTATTTCCTAGAAAACTAATGCATTTTTTTTTATTTGGTTTCTATAACGACTGATAACAATATTTTCTTAATTGCCATTCCATATTTACATTTAATTCAACTTCATTCAAATTCATTATGAAACCGTCCAAATTTAATGCAGTGTCTGCAGTTTTACATTTGGTTAGTATAACGACTGATGACAATGACTTTTTAATTTCCATTCTATATTTACATTCAATTCAATTTCATTGTGCCACAAACTACAAAGCAGTAATCTAAATGATTAGAATGAACAATGTATTGCTGTAATCCATTCAAACAACACATGACCACTAAAAAATATCTTTTATTATGAGAATTTCTGCTCTTAGAATAAAACGACTGACTGGTTGTTTGTTTATATACAGCACCTTAGATACAAATCTACTGTGATACCAATGATGTATCTAAGGGAGGGGCGTGCGAGGGTTGAAAGGCTGTACATTTTAGGGGTCCCCAGTTCCCAGTTGGAAGAGTCACTTCTGCGAAATCTGGTTAACATATTTAACGTTACTTTGCTGCGCACGGTGTGACCCATCGGTACCGAGTTCAGTAAGTAAAATGATTATAAAGTAGTAAAATCATGCAAATGTTTTGAATTTGCAGGAGATGTGCTATTTTCCGTGAGAGTGTGGGTTGCTTGCGGGGGTGCGGGAGGCCTTCCCAATTTCTGGGAGGCTCTTGCAGGAGACTTGTGACCCCTGACAGCTGTAAAATGGGTGTATCTTGTGAGAGATATGCATCTGTTCCTGTCCTTTTTAAACAAAATACTAATTTTACACTTGTTTTCAGAATTATTTGCAAAAGTTGATAATAAATCGTCAGCCGATTAAATTGAAGTGGTCCTAGTAGATTCAATATTCATGTTACAAATGTAGAAACATTTCACCTACAAATGTAAAGTTTCCATTTTTACCTCAAATTTCATAACATGTCAACCACAAATGTAAATATTTATTCTAAGGTAAGTTATTATCAGATGTATGGGTGTGTGTGTGTGAGGTTTTTTTCCTAAGCGCTTAAATCCTTAAAATATTGAAAGACCCTAATTAACTTGCCAATTCCACCTATTTTAATATGTTCACATAATAGTGAGGTCATCGACGTACTTCCAGGTCGAAACACCAATTTAATTTGAGCCATGAAGGGCATCCTTAATAACAACAAGGAAAACCAAATTAGCAAGAATTGTTCAGAGCCGTAGATAGAGAGAGTTTGGCCAACTTGGCGCCATGTTGTCACCAAACAGCGTGCGCGCGTATAGCTTTATAACATTTTATAAAACACTGATGCTGCATAAACTTTCTTTCATTATTCTGTTCAAGAGGACAATTCAATTATGGGATTTTAAGATTTTGTAAATATCATATCCTGTATAATCATATTTAACTTTGGACAGTGACGTGCTGTATTATTTCGAGAAGATAAAGTGAGGACGATTCTTTATTTTTTTTTCTCGTTACGATTATCTTTTTGTTTTGAAAGTCTATCATCTAGGCCTATAGTTGCTAGCAGCCTACTCTATATAGCATGAGGCTCCTAAAAAAGAGTCAACACTGCAGAGGAGAAAGGTTGGTTGAGCAGACAGAGTAGGTTTGTGAATCTTCGGCGAATGTTAATTTCGCCTGTAAATGAATGATAAAAATATTAATAACATGAAAGTTTTCTAATTGTATCTAGGCCTTACTTCGTAAACATTAATTTATGAAATAAAATATGCTGGTCATCTTCAAACCAACAAATAGCCTAGGCTTAGGCCTATTTGTAAATTGTAATCTAAACAATAAATCAAAGTTGAAGAATTATTGCATTGAGAGAAATTTTTGTACAACATATGCCTAATCATTCATAATCAAGAAGCTAGGCCTTGTAAGTAAAATAGCAGCATTCTCCACACTTCTGTTTATAATATTAGTGAGTTATAATATCATTATTACTGTATTATTATTTATTATTATTTATTATTCATTATTTACTATTCATTGAAATTTTGATTTGTAATT